CTCCCTTCCTCTGCAGAAATAACAATTCTAGAATGAGATAGGGAATCTTCCACTTATCAGAATTCCTCTTGAGTGTGTGTGTGTGTGTGTGTGTGTGTGTGTGTAGCATCAGGGTAGGTTAGACTTGGGTTTCTCAAACATGGGAGAAACATATTCCATAAGAAACAAGGGAAAGAACTGTAAAGGGTTTGCAATATACATGGTAAGATATTGATAAATATTACTATTATTGTTGTTCTTAGTCTGGAGAGAGGGATGGACAGTAAGAGGAGGAATCCCAGGGAATGATGCTAGGTCTCGGGAAAGGAAGAAGCTAATGGACCACCCAACATAACCATCCAATCTAGTCTCCCCCTCAAGCTTCCACTGAAATTCCTACACTTAACACAGTCTTTGATAGGAGTCCCAACTGTCAGAAACTGGCCCAGGCTAGACTTCGGGTCCACATGGGGTTACATGGAAATAAAGAGCCACATGTGCTTGCAGGAACCAAGGGAGATGGGAAAGGTGATGGGAAGTAAGAACAGAAGCACAGAGAAAAAGACCATGGCAGCCCATGAATTCCTTGATGAACTCTCCAGACTCCTAAGATCCTAGAACTAAGGGGATATTTCTACCACAGGGCAGGCTGGGGATACAGCTGAGAATATAGTACTTCCCGGGACAGAACTGGGGCAAGTCCTCCCCATCACTGCCAGATCACTCACAGCAAAATGCTCACAATGCACGCAGGAGCCAAGAGGGCCTTGTCTTGGGCGTGCCACTCCAGAACTAGAATTTTTTTTTTTTTTTTAAATAAAAATCATGCAAGCTGCCATAAGATAGAGCCCTCGATGCCTGGGGAGTGATGCATCCACAACAGAGACACAAGAGTGGATGTATCAGAAATAGGGCCAGAAGGGAAAGGAAAGGAAGAAGGCCTACTTGGACTCACCTGCTGAGGCAGGTCCCCCCAACACTGAACTCTCTCAATGAGGCTGGCACTAAGGTGGGTAGAGAATTGTAGAGGCTACTTGAGTGCTGTTTGCAGGCGGCAGGGAGGGCAGAAGTAGACCATGCCAACACCTAGGGATGCTCCATGTCAGTGTAAGGAGGTAAGGGCCCTGACAGGATGGGGATGGGACAGAAGGCCTAGGCAGGGAAAACTACCAGCTCTGCAGGACATTCTTCAACCCCAAGGCCACCACATGGACCTAGGATCAGCTACAAGTGCCCAGCCTGTAGAACCTTAGAGACCTCCTAGTGCTTGCATGGAGGGGCACAAACCTCTCCCCAGGCATGAGCATGAGTGAAGTCAGGAATTAATTTCCCAGGAGAGGCTCAGAGATGAGTCACCCTCAACCTCTCCAAAAAGCAGCTTGTGTGCATGTCGGGGGAAGGAACGGATAGGTCAGGACACTGTTTAGAGGAGTGGGTACTCTTTCCTCACCTTCTGCAGGCCTTGAGCAGAGAATCTGTACAGCCAAAGTCTGAAGGGCTGCAAACGTCTTCTCCAAAGATAGAAAAATGTTGGCTCGCCAGCACCCCTCTTAGGAAGATGACTACGTATTTCCATGGAGAGGGGTTGCTCAGGGTGAAATCAAGAGCGCCTCTCCCCAACCCCAGCCCCAGGAGGCCTGAATACAATGAAGAGAGCTCGCTGCTCAGCAGAGAGGGGAGGTGAAAGAGAGGAGATGGGGGGTGGTAAAGGGTGGGAGAGTGGCCCCCTCTGTGAGATGCACCCCCCCCCTAAATTACACGTGAAGTCACTAAGCCTCCAGAGTGCCAGAAGCTAGTGCCCCATCCCTGAGAAAGGGACAGGACCTCAAGCCCAGTGGAATCCAAGCCTGGCAGACCCTAGATTTCATGGGCCTACACAGAAATTACAAGCACTAAATAAAGGTCAACTTCATCCAGGCAGGTGCTGGAACACAGAGTAAGCAGGTGGCTGCAAACCAGTGAAAACGCCTCTTGTTTTTTCCTAAATCTTGGGACAGAACAGTTCAGAATCATTAAAAACATAAAACAGACTTAATATCACCTGCAAGAGGGCCCAGAGGTAAAGAAGAGCTTAAGCGGTTTTAATAAGGCCCTGCTCTTCCGGGAGGAGGCAGGTGTGGGGGTATACGGTCAGGGGCCATTCATCCCCGGCCCTGCTGAGACCCTGGTGCCACAGAAACCCTAACAGGAGAGATGAAATTTCCCTGTTCATTACAGAACTAAAAGTCAGTTTTGGAACTATGAAATATGACTTTAATAAATGAATACATAAGCCATCAGGATCTGCGTCCCAGCACAGCTGAAAACTGAAACTGTGTTTAGTCCACAGAATCATGCACACAGGACCAGAGCCCAGGGTCTGATGAATTTTCAAATCCGCTCTGCAAGCGTCTTTGACTCTCCTGACAGTCCCTTCTTCTGTCCCCTGGACGTATGTATGGGTAGTGACTCCTGGAGCGTGCAGGTGCACCTGTGTGTGCCCCTCTGGGTGTGTGGCCACAGACTATGCACTAGTGGCTGTGTGTGTGTGTGTGTGTGTGTGTGTGTGTGACACACAGAGAGAGAAGTTTCTGTCCTAAACTGTTACTTTAAGTACATTAGTGGCTTTCTCCCCACAAGGCTCAGAGCAGAGGATACAATGTAATGGAATGATGCTGGAGGGCCCAACAAGTTAGAAATCCAAAAATTCTCCCAGATGAGGCTGCTCATCACAGGGAATGATACAGAACTTACAGAGGACAGCTCAATCACGGTGGGGATTTCTTCACAGAAGGCATCCTTCCCCCTTCCTCTCTCTCTTGTTCTTCCCTCTGTTCCTTCCCTCTTTCTTCCAACAGTCGCTGAGGCCCGCCACCAGCCTGACACATTGGTTAATACATATGCTATCTCCTTCAGTCCACAGAACTCTTCACCATACCTATTTCCTTCTCCATTTTACAAATGAGAGAACTGATTCAGAATGATGATAGGATACATCCAACATTACACGGCTAGTGATTGGTAGATTCTTATAATGTGCTTTATTCCCCCAAAAGCAGAAAACTGAGCTTGGTGCCAGAGGACCTAGGGAGGATTATGGGAACTTCCAGTCTACCGATGGCATGCCCTATTCTAGAACTCAAGACATGTTGCTCTCCAACACAAGGAGTTACTACACAGGTCAATGAAAGGCAATAAGGTTACCACAGAGCTGGGACAAAGGGGATGCCCAAGAGATGTCCTCTTTCCCCTCTGTATCCCTTCAAAGACCAGGGCCAACACTGGCACTGTCCCTGTTCTGGATCACTTTTCCTGCTCATAACACATGCACCTGTGTCCCTATCCTATAATCCTTTTGCCCTAGATAGGGGTTTTCTAACTGGAGCCCTATGCTTCACTGGGGTTATCCATGGACGTACAGACACACTTACTTTATTTATATTCAGTTATATGGAGGGGGAGTCTTGGGATTAGGCATCCGGGTTCTGGTCTCAGCTTTCCCAATGATCTGCTGTGTGCTCTTGGACTTTAGTACCCGTCTCTAGACCTCAGTTTTACTACTTACTTCAAGGTTCAGCAAACTATGGCCTGGAGGTCAAATCTGGCCCTCCTCTTGTTTTTATAAATAAAGTTTTATTGGAACACAGCTGCATGCTTCCACTCATTTATATATTATCTGTGGCTGCCTGCACAGTCCCCCTGTTGAACACAGTCCACAGACGGTGAACTGAAGGATGTCTCAGAAGTTCCCACCACTAACCTTGCCAGCCTCCGGTCCACTTCCTTGCCACAAAGCTCAGAGCAGACTCTAGAGAAATTTCCCCCAAATGCACGTCTGACTATGTCACCTCCTGACTTAAACCCTTTCAACAGTAGGCATGGCAATAACTGCAAAATAGGCAGAAAGGATTTACTGGGGTGATGAGAATGTTCTAAAACTGGCCGATGGTGCTGACTGCACAACTTTGTAGATTTACTAAAAATCACCGGATTGCACACTTACATGGGTAAATTCTATGAAACGTACGTAAATACATAAAACGGTTTTTAAAAAAGAAAAGCTTTCAAGAGTCCCAGGCCAAGTGGGCCCACAGCTGGGCTTCCCTGGGCACCCTCCAGGGACTGACTGCAGCCTGTGCGGCGTGTGTTCTCCATCCACACGGAGAGAAGGCGGCCAAGTGGGAGACGTGTTTAGAAGCCAGGGCAATGAGGTGGCATTGCTGAGACATTTTTACTACAGTCATGAAAGTGCTGGTCCACAATGAGTTGAACGGAAAAAACTGGTCTTTCCCAACGGTTTGAGGAGCACTGCTCTTGAGGTGGGCTCACACTTCATCTCCGTGGCCTGGCATTCAAAGCCAGCCACACAACCTACTCACCTCAGCAAGCTGAGCCACCTGCATACCTCCTTTGTGTCTCAGCCTTAAACAAGCGGGAACTTCCAAACTCTGCAAAAACTCTCTCCCTTGCTCCTCCAGCCCCCGGCATGCACCAGCCCTGACAAATCAAATGCCTTTTCCTTCCTTGTTCAATAATTATTCATCCTTCAAGACTTAGCCTAGCTACCACCTCTGCCTGGAAGCCTTCCTAATTGCCTTTTCCCAAATACCCTCTTCCTCTGGGAGGGAGTGGTGATCTTTTGACTAGTTATCCCAGCTCTCAGAACCTCACATTTTTCATCCATAAAATAGGAATAACAATAGTACTTCACTCATCAGGCTGTTTTAAGCAATTAGTTTGTAAAAGGCATCAATGCCTCTGTTCCCCCAGCATCCTATAGAGCCCGCTGTGTCCCACTGTACAGTAACTGTGTGTTTATCATGGGTCTCCTCTTCCTGAGCAGGATCTCCAAGGAGGCAAGGGCCATGCTGGACCATCTCTGCACCCACAGGCCTGGCCAGGAGAGGCTCAGTGAACATGAGATGCATGGTGAGTAAGTAAATGAAGTCCTTTCTTGACTAACAAACTCTAGGTAAGGCAAGAGGTCTATAGATTTAGGATCACTTAAAAAAAAAAAAAAATCAAACCAAAGAACACCATACCTGGTAGAAATGTGGCCAGAAGGTGCTGATGGCAAGCTCTGCCTTCACCCAGCCCTCGGTGACGACCCCAGAGACGTTCCAGACAGGGTTCCCCTGGGGCCCGCCGTTCACCTTCACATAGACATTCAAGGCTCCCGGGCTGGACCTGTCGCGGCTGGAGAAGTAGTAATGGAAATCGATACAGTGGGTGTCATTCTCCTTCAGGGTCGGCAGGAGAAGGTGGGCCTTCTGGCCAGAGGCCCTCCCAGAGCTGTTCACCATCATGAAGGAGCCTGGAGAACCACAAAGGGGATGGAAAATAGAGACAAAGAAAGAAAGAAAATCCTTCTGATATCCATCAACATCCTTCACATCCATCAACGTGGGGGCTGGAAATCAAGTCACTCTACGAGGGCCTGACTGATCCTGAGGAAGCCACATCCCAGTTACAGAAGAAGAGAGAGGGGTAATTCTAAAACCTGCTCAACAGGCAGTTTAAAAATTAAGAGATCAGGGTGCCTGGTGGCTCAGTCAGTTAAGCATTCAACTCTTGATTTCAGCTCAGGTCATAATCTCAGGGTCCTAGGGTCGAGCCCCACATCTGGCTGCCTGCTCAGCACGGAGTTGGCTTGGGATTCTCTCTCTTCCTCTGCCCTTCTCCCACTCGTGGTTTTTTGTTTTTCTCTCTCTAAATTTAAAAAAAATATTTAAAAAAATTAAGGGACAGCAACATGTACTAGTATTTCTACAAAGTAGACAGTCTATAAACATTTACAGAAGAAGTGTTCTATCCAGCAGATCCTAAAGGAAACATAGAACAAAACCCCAGGAATACAGCTAACTGCAGCCTCTAAGGGTAAAATGTGACATACAAGCTCAGGCGGGCTTGGGTTGTCTCGGAAGCAGATCCTCTGTAATAAGGAGGTATCGTTCCAACACATTCCACGAGGACCCTTGCACTCAGACTGAGGAGTAATTGCAAACTATCCATTAATATTGCATTCAGCACAGGGCATCAGTTTATGTATCACAGGAGGACATATTAAAAGTAGAATATATTCAAGTAAGTAAGGAAGACTCTGACGAAATGTGAGAACCAGCTGGAAGATGGTCGGCCTGGAAGGGATGGTAAGTAACACTTACTAAGCACTTAAGGAGTACCAGTGTGACGCTAGGTGTCTTTTTAATATACTATTCAGTTTAATCTTCAGAATGACCCTGGGAGGTAGAGGATTTTCATTTTCTTTAAAGACTGAATGGCTTGCCCTGGGCCACTCAGCCAGGAAGGGATGGAGGAACCCCAGATTCTCTTCAACTCAGCGTTTACACTATCACTCTACAGCAAACATGACTACAGTCTTTCAAGCATTAAGTAGGTTGCCAGCCCACAGAAAGGAAGCAAGCATTGTTGGAGTTGCTTTGACATATTCGATGGCTGTTTCTAGTTCTTCAACCTTCCCCAGATCCATGTCCTGGGCCTCCCAGAAGAGGCAGAGGGCGTGTCCCCATCCCTTGATGTTGGACCGCACTTGCTTTGGTCAACAGGACGTCAACAGGATGAACTGAGGAGAGGCGTGACAGGTGCACCCCCAGCTGGGCTTGCCCTCTGGCACTCCCACCACCTTTGATGAGGAGAGCGTGCCCCGGCGAGCTGCCCCTTTCAGCTGGGGATCAAGGAGAGACATGCATGGTGGAGAAGGGAGCTCAGCCAGTGCTAAAGGACCAGGCCATCCCCACCACAGAGCCCGGAGCACAGCCACGCGGTCAACACGCCCAACTCCAACATTCCAGTCCACCATCAACGCTCAGACCCACGAGTAGGAGAATAAATGCTCACGGCTGTTTGCCAGGGAAAGAAACCACAGGAGACCTATTTCCATTCAAAGGGCCTTCTAACAATGGCCTGGAGACACAGTGAGTTAGTTCCCTGCCGTGACAGGTGGCTCAGCAGAGCCTGAACGATGGAAGAGACATCTAAGGAAATTCCACAGTCAACTGTGAGGGCCAAACTCTGTGACTTAGAGCCCTATGATGCTAGGAAACAAACTGCATCATAAAACACAGTAGATAAAACTCAGCGGATCTGGGGATGAATATTCTCACCTAGAAAAACACTATTGCTTTGAAATCTTATTTTAACCACTAAAATCTTCCATTCGGAAGGAAACCTTAAGACTGCTTATCCTCAGTTGAGATGAGCCACTTCAGAAAGTAGCCTCATTTATTCACCCTAATACCCGGAAGACTAAAGCGGCCAGCTAAGAAGAGCTGGGCAATCTGTTGCTCGCTAAGGTTCTAGAAGGTACCAGGCATCCATAGCCCATCCTCCCTGGGTTCTGAACGAATTTAAGGACAGACACGGGAGGGGGGTGCCTGGGTGGCTCAGTCAGTTATGCGTCCAACTCTTGATTTTGGTTCAGGTCGTGATCTCTCAGTTGTGGGATCAAGCCCTGAGTCAGGCTCCATACTCAGTATGGAACCTGCTTCAGAGTCTCTCTCCCAGTGCCCACCCCCCACCCCACTCTCTGTCTCTGTCTCTGTCTCTCTCTCTCAAAAAAAACATAAATAAATAAAAAATAAATAAATAAAAACCTTAAAAAATATAGATACAGGAGAGAGAGAGAGTTCAAAACCCTCTATTTCATTATTCACAAAACTGGATTAGAGAAAGTATCTTGGATTTGAGGCCAAATTAGGCTTCTCGCCTTTTCTTCTCTGCACCGGCACACTCAGCAGCGAGATGGTCATGGGCTCCCTCCTTCTGACTCCATCCAGATCCCCAGGGCCAGAGCTATCCTCCAGAGATGGCCACGGAGGAACCCTGAGTAGGCCCATCCCCCAGCTGAGCCCCCAAGAAGCAAGGGGACTAAGAGAAATAGGAACCTAGGCTCCCAGACTGTCACCATCCCAACCGTCAGAAAACTTTCCACCTCCTAGGCTAAGAGCCACTGAAAGCGGCTCCCCCTCCACCCCTCCACGTTTCCAAGAGAATCAAGTCTCCTTGTTCATGGCCTGGCAGAAACACGCGGTAAGTGGAGAGATGCCCCTTGTCAGACGTATCTTAGCTATCACAACCTCCCCCATGAGGCAGCGAGGAAGGAACCACTGCACGGGGGAAATAGTACAGAAAGAAGACTGAGCTAGCATGCATGCCTGTATCTGCTGCTTTATATTCCACAGGGTTCCAGGTTCCCCGGGAAGACATGAGAAATGTGACTGTCCCGGCCGCAGAGGTGTGGCACAGCTATGGGAAGAGAAGGCAGCCGGAGAAGCGAGCCGTGCCTGGCTCTCTCCACTCAGACTCCCATGGTGCCCCATGGACATTTCAGCTCCTGTCCTCCTGGCAGTCCACACCGGGCTGCCTAGACTCCGCAGCACAGTCGGGAGGGTTTCCCTCCCACCAGCTCAGGCTCCTACTTCTTTTCATCCCAGCTCCAGTTTTGAGGCAAGCTCCCAGGGGAGGCAGAGCCACATAACCTAGAGCCACTCACAGATGCTTAAGGCTGCTCTCTGTCTTGCTTCCCCAGTGACTGTTGGCCAAGGATGCTCCATCTCCCTGGAGACAGAGCTGGTGAGAGACAGTGCTTGGCCCTCCATCTACCCTCCATTTGGAGAAACTGCAGGTTGATGAACAGACGGGTCCTCTTTGCTGTTTGGGGAACATCACTGATTACGTTCCGTGGCAGCCTCTTAGAGGTTGGTGGGGCCATGCCACTGGGTTCTAGCCAATGGGGCCTGAGTAGGAAAGTGTGCCACTTCTAGGCTTGGTTCATAAAAGCCACCTCCCTCTTCTCACCCCTATCCCCATTCCTCCACCTTCCGTTATCTTGTCTCTCAAAGGATCGTCTTTGAACCAGCAGCATCAGCATCACCTGGGAGTCGGGAAGAAATGCAGCATCTCAGGGCCCACTCCAGGTCTACTAAATCCAAATGTTCTTTTTTTTTTTTTTTTCCCCAAGATCCCCAAGGATTTGTATGCACACTAAGGTGTGAGAATCACTGTGCCACTGTCTTTCCCATGCACCAGCTAGCTGAAAGCCTAGGATTCCAAGAGAAATAGAACACAATAAAAGGAGCCTGGTTCCCTGAATGACCATGACCATGAGGACAGGCCACTCGCCCATTAGGAATGCTCATTTTGGCTTTAAGTAAATAAGGAATAAACTGCTACTGGGTTATTAAGCCACTGAAATTGTGAAGTTGATTTCCGCAGCTAGCGTTATTGTTCTGGCACCCCCACAGAGCCCTTGCTTCCTCCTAGTCCCTTTACTTAAGGGGATAAGATGAAAAATGATAGTTACTAAGCAAAGCTGCAAGACGCTCCAAGGAGGGACATCACTAAGAACAGTGTCCTAGTGTAAAGAGAAGCAGAAAGAAAGAAGAAAAGGAAAACCACACACTCTGAGCATGAACTCTTGAAAAAGCAAGAAATATCTTGGATCTTCATTAAGATCACCTGTCTTGGGGCACCTGGGTGGCTCAGTGGGTTAAAGCCTCTGCTTTCAGCTCAGGTCATGATCCCAGTGTCCTGGGATCGAGCCCCACATCGGGCTCTCTGCCCTGCAGGGAGCCTGCTTCCACCTCTCTCTCTATCTGTCTGCCTCTCTGCCTACTTGTGATCTCTGTCAAATAAATAAATAAAATCTTTAAAAAAAAAAAAAAAAAAAAAAAAGATCACCTGTCTTCGGTGGGCCAGAGCTAGGTGGGGTCAAGGTCACAATACCACTACGACCACCACCACCACCCTGGCCCTTCATGTCTATCTGGGTGACTGGATACGCATGTTGAAGGCATTAGACTAGACAGAAAGGTATGTGCTTTGGGGCACAGCTCAGAGAGAATAGGCAAGATCATTGGAAACATTAAAAAAAAAAAAAAAAAAAGGACAAAAAATGATGACTGCCCAGCCCACCGCTCCCGTGCACCTACCCACAAAGGAGGGCAGGGCGCAGGCCAGAAAGGTACAGCAGGACGGAGTTCTGCTCAGGAGTGTCTTGGTGAAACCAGAGGAATGAGCAGTACTGCTCTGGAGTCCCAGTGACACAAGGTGACAGGGTGAAAAGTCAGCATCAGCAGGTGGCACCCCCAGCAGGAGGGCAGGGGTACTGCAGCCCTGGGGCGAGGACTTAGCAGCAGCCCTGCTGATGCTCTCCAAGAAGCAGCTTGTGGGAGTGGGCTTCCCAACGAGTCCAGAAAGGGCTCCTTCCTGACATGAAATATCCAGTGCAACTGATCTCATCACTCAGGACAAGGGACAGCCTTCTGAGAGCAGACAGAGGCCCAAAAGTCAAGC